CAGCGATGTAAACTGAATGGTGGAAAGACTATAAAATATTTTGGTCAATGAATTTTGCTTCTACAGGGTAAGCTCGGCAATTGTCTTGCTATAAAACATGTTCGTCTGCTCTCTAGATACCAAATAGAAGTAGACACAGTATGGAAAACTGTCTTTGTCCACATATATTAGAAAGCACTCTTCTAAGAAGGTGGAATTTATGTGGAATCTTTGAAAGTTTCAATAAGTACATATATATTTTTACTAATAGAAGTTTTACTTTCTGGGAGCCAACCCCATTACTACGTGACAAAAGTGAATATGGTCTTACTTTGCTTAAACCTGGGCAAAACTGACCTGCTATTACTCATCTTTCATTGCCTGGACTATTGTGTGAGTTTAAACCTTTCCTTCTGTCTTTTTCATTTCTTACATTTTCTTTAATTTCCTTGGTAATTTTTTGAAATGACAGATCTGATCACGTTACTCCTCTGCTTCAAATTCTTACTGCTTTTTGAATAAAATCCAAGCTGTTTAACATAACTTACAAGACACTTAAAGACTTGTTTCTAATTAACTGTTCAGTCTAATTTTCTAGCACTCTCCCTATACATTCTGTCCCAACTACACTGAAACTACTTTTTGTCTCCCACATAAACCAGCTACCTCATACCTCCGTACTTTTGCACACGCTATTCCTTGCCTGTAAGATCCTTTCCTTCTCTCATCCATTTGACAAAACTTTACTTATTACCTTCAAGTTTCCTTTTACGTGATACTCCTTTACATTCTCTGCTCACTGACCTCTGTTGGAGTTAGGTCCGCTTTCCTAAATCTAGTCAAGCATTTATCACATGTTGTTTCTACCACTTGACTGAATTCCTTGAACTTAATGACCAATTTATTCATCTTTGAGTTTTGGATGTCTAGCCCATTGCTTAGCATACAGTAAGTATAAAACAGATGTTTCAACTGAAATTAATTGAATGAATTAATCTTACCCTTCTAGTAAATGCTTTCCTGTCAAGCATTTATCACATGTTGTTTCTACCACTTGACTGAATTCCTTGAACTTAATGACCAACTTATTCATCTTTGAGTTTTGGATGTCTAGCCCATTGCTTAGCATACAGTAAGTACAAAACAGATGTTTCAACTGAAATTAATTGAATGAATTAATCTTACCCTTCTAGTAAATGCTTTCCTCTTTCCCTGCCCAGTTGCTGAACTGTTTCAAAAATAAAACAGTGGAAATTTATTCAACAACACTTCTGTATCCTAGAAACAGTACCAAGCTTTTTCACATGAGCTATCTCATTTAATCCCAACCATGAGGCTATAAAGTAGGTACTATTGTTTTCCTGACTTTATAAAAAAGAAATATGATAATTTGCCCAAACTTGCTAAGTTAATTTGTGGAGAAGGCAGAATTCAAGCCCACAGTTCTTATCTACTATGCTATACTGTACTAGATGATGTGCACATTGTGGCATGCCTACATATAGTTAATGCCCTATGCAGCTGTTGATATACAAAGGGTTGTTTTCTAAAGAAAATAGAGCTCTATTATAAACAATGTCTTTAGGAACTACTAAGATATACATTTTTATGTGACCCTCAAACATCATGGCTGCTCTATACTCTATTTCATTATTTCTGACTTCTGTTGTCAGGGTCACCAGCTGGCATTTTCTGATCTTCACTGTCACTTTTCTTGTCCAATGCTATCTGCTGTTCGAATCTTCGTGTCTCCCTTTTCCTCACAACCCAGCAAATTGTTCTTTTTAGCTAACACACATCAGTGAGACTGCTTCCTTCTTTCACTGAGGTAGTCAAACTAACTAATCACAGAGCATATATAGTAATCTTATTTTCGACCTCTGCTCACTCAAGTTCTGAGTGTTAATTTTCAGATATATACCTTTCATTTATAAACTTTTAGGTGTATTACCAGTTATTAGGTGAGATACCATAAGCATGACTTCTTGAGTGTTTCTATCAAGCATTCAAATAATTTTAAATAATAAAATTTAATGCCATTTAAAAACATTAATATAAAGTTTTATATATATGTATTTGTTAAATACAGGAGCATAAAATTTAGCATTTTTATGCATAAAAATTTTAAAAAATAGTTCTTTTACTTGGTGCTAAGAATCTAAATACATTAGTGCTGTACTTAGCACTGCTAGGGATGAGATGCTCATAAGTCAATTTTCTACATCCTTAGGCTCACCTTTTTTGGGGTCAAAGTATCAAACAATGTTTAACTACTTTATGAATTCTTGTAAAAATATATTTCATATTTTGCTTGTTTTTGCTAGTCTTTCCTACCCTCATCTTGGTGACCGTCAATAATTATACTGGGTTGAAATGTGGTCATCTTTCAGTTTCCCCCACTCTGTCAGCTATTATGGAATTTCAAAAAGGCTAAATAGGCAAAATAGTTCAAATTAAAGTCCAGCTTTACAAACATTTTGCAGGAGTTAGGGATCCTAAAGGCGCTGGAGTAGGGCAGCCTGGAAATCTGTCAGGTATAGGTATAAGAGAATGGGTTAGATTTGGTCTGGAAGAGCTTGTAAGGTATTAGGGCAAGTAGGAGCCAAGGAAAACCAACAGGATATTGAGGCATGTGATGAGCTCACAGGTGTTATGGTGACAAGAAACTTCAGTTAGCTCACGATATTTGTAATCTAGATGCTGGTGGAGCCTTTTATATGACTAGTACACAGCAAGAACTCAATCATTCAGTACGTCTTGGACATCTACAATGTTCTCAGTATTATGTTAATCTTCTGCTATAGCTCACCATTAGACAAAAGGTATTCTAACAATCTAAAGCATTTTTCTAAACATCTTGATTTAGGCTTGCAGATGCATAAACGTAAGCTTAAGGCAAATGCAGTATTCTCATAGGACTTACATGATTTTTAAGACATTCCATGCTTAAAATTACCTAGAAAAAGGGTATCTAAATTGCTTTATATTATGTAAGCAGCGCTATGCATATAAAATATTTTGAAGATGCAATATTTTGCATGCTCCCAAGAAGGTGAAAATCACTATTTTCATACAACCACATCTCAGCAAAGCACCTAGAAAAAAAGGCACTGATTGCACAAAAAGAGTTCAATAAATATATTTGAATAGAGAAGTAAATCATTTTGCATTTATTACTTAGTATTCTGCATGACTAGGGAGACACCTGAAGAAGATATTGAAAACTAGAATAACCTCCTACAATAAAAGAATAATGGCAAGGAAATTTTGAAAATGTTCAAGGTGAATCTAAAGAACTGTGTTGTATTTTCTATTTTAATTAAAATTCCAAGATGCCAACAGACTAAAAATTTTAGCTTAAGCATGAGCCTGTGAAAATCATTTAATAATAGAAATAATTAAATATAATTTTCAGCATTAATCATGTAATCAATGGATTACTGTGATCACATATTTCACAGCTCTAACTGGTCAGATCAAATCACATTCGCTAAGCTCCATAAAAACATTTTACTGCTTAAACAAAGAACTCAAACACTTTGCCTTTAGGCTCCTCTGCTATATATCAATGTATTATACTATAAAGAGAAAGCATAAAGTTCTTAATTTTACAAACTCTCCTAAGTGCCAAACTTGAAGCTCAGAATACAATATCTACCTGAACATAGGAATCCCCATCACAGAGTAAACGTCATTTAGGTGTATAAAGATCTGAAAGAACAAACACAGAAGTTAGAATGAAACAGGAAACTCCATCACCAAATTATTGACAATTTGAAAACTTCCATTTTGAACTTATGATAAGAAATTCCAAGGCTTTATTTGTAATATACAGGAAACTCCATCACCAAATTATTGACAATTTGAAAACTTCCATTTTGAACTTATGATAATAAGAAATTCCAAGGCTTTATTTGTAATATCTGAAAAAATGTTCTATAACCTTTTTTTCTTAAGCAGAGTTAAACCAAATTTTAAGTGCATTTCATAGAAAAATTCAGAGGTCAATTCGGTATACAAGTTATATGGAGAATCATGTTACCAAGAACTGAAGATCAACTTTCTTCCCAGTGATTTTCTGAATTATCATAACTGGATCAGACTTTTCAGCATTTTGGGTTAGAGATTTCCTAAATCTATCCAAACTCTAACCTCAAATGAGACTCGAGGCCACACAGGGCTGTCACAGGCTTCAAACACTTGCAGGGCAAGAGAAAACTTTATTTAGCTCAAATATATGGTAACAAGGGTACCCCTTTCTCTCTCTACTATCTATAGGTGAGTTTCTGCCTCTCTTTATTTCCTTTCTTCTGTTTGGCCATAAGGAGGATTTAAATGCCTCAAGTTATGAGGAGACCACATAAATTTTAAAAGTTTAAATTTATGATTTTTTATTACTAATTATAAAATTTATACTTTTATAGTCTGATAAGGTTTATAGAATATTCTAACTGCTGTTTTGAACTTCAAGAACAATTGATTTCTGATACTTTCACCTCAAGGTTATTTTTAATATATACATTTAATCAGAATTATTCCAATACTGATAAGTTTTCATCAAGAAAAGAATTATCTAGAGTGACTCCATTTAGCCAATTTAATTCCTCAATCAGTTCATACATCACTGCTAAACTTGCCAATTTTATATATTATGCATTTTAGCAAAATTATTTATTAGAATTTTTTGTTTATAATTTATAGCAAGAATAACATACTGACCTTGTTTTTACATTGAATGTTACTAAGAATAGCTTCCCCCACCTAAAATTTTTCTCTTATCAATTTTGCAGAACAAAGTTTGTTAAGATTTGATTCTTCTGTCAATTTTTAGTCACAAATTTTACTGTATGTGATTTTAGTGCTGTCAATTTTGTTTTGTATGATTATTTCCACCAATTATAGCTATTACTTTTTTTCTTTTTTTTTTCTTGTCTTTTTGTCTTTTTTCCGTGTCCGGCAACGGATCGCAACCCTCAGTGTTGCCCCCATACCGGACCGGGGACCGGTAACGGGATTGCAAGCCTCGGTGTCATGCCTGTACCAGGGACCCGCAACGA